ACCCAGAGCCTTGGTGTACCCAGAGCCATGGTGTAGCCAGAGCCTTCGTGTACCCAGAGCCCTGGTGTACCCAGAGCCTTGGTGTACCCAGAGCCTTAGTGTACCCAGAGCCCTGGTGTAGCCAGAGCCTTCGTGTACCCAGAGCCTTAGTGTACCCAGAGCCTTAGTGTACCCAGAGCCATGGTGTACCCAGAGCCTTAGTGTACCCAGAGCCATGGTGTACCCAGAGCCTTAGTGTACCCAGAGCCATGGTGTACCCAGAGCCTTGGTGTACCCAGAGCCATGGTGTACCCAGAGCCTTAGTGTACCCAGAGCCATGGTGTACCCAGAGCCTTGGTGTACCCAGAGCCATGGTGTACCCAGAGCCTTAGTGTACCCAGAGCCATGGTGTACCCAGAGCCTTAGTGTACCCAGAGCCATGGTGTACCCAGAGCCTTAGTGTACCCAGAGCCATGGTGTACCCAGAGCCATGGTGTACCCAGAGCCTTAGTGTACCCAGAGCCCTGGTGTACCCAGAGCCATGGTCTACCCAGAGCCTTGGTGTACCCAGAGCCATGGTGTACCCAGAGCCCTGGTGTACCCAGAGCCATGGTCTACCCAGAGCCTTGGTGTACCCAGAGCCATGGTGTACCCAGAGCCATGGTCTACCCAGAGCCTTGGTGTACCCAGAGCCATGGTCTACCCAGAGCCTTGGTGTACCCAGAGCCATGGTGTACCCAGAGCCCTGGTGTACCCAGAGCCATGGTCTACCCAGAGCCTTGGTGTACCCAGAGCCATGGTGTACCCAGAGCCCTGGTGTACCCAGAGCCATGGTGTACCCAGAGCCCTGGTGTACCCAGAGCCATGGTCTACCCAGAGCCTTGGTGTACCCAGAGCCATGGTGTACCCAGAGCCCTGGTGTACCCAGAGCCTTGGTGTACCCAGAGCCTTGGTGTACCCAGAGCCATGGTGTACCCAGAGCCCTGGTGTACCCAGAGCCATGGTCTACCCAGAGCCATGGTGTACCCAGAGCCATGGTGTACCCAGAGCCCTGGTGTACCCAGAGCCATGGTCTACCCAGAGCCTTGGTGTACCCAGAGCCATGGTGTACCCAGAGCCCTGGTGTACCCAGAGCCATGGTGTACCCAGAGCCTTGGTGTACCCAGAGCCATGGTGTACCCAGAGCCTTGGTGTACCCAGAGCCATGGTGTACCCAGAGCCATGGTGTACCCAGAGCCATGGTGTACCCAGAGCCTTGGTGTACCCAGAGCCATGGTGTACCCAGAGCCTTGGTGTACCCAGAGCCATGGTGTACCCAGAGCCATGGTGTACCCAGAGCCTTGGTGTACCCAGAGCCCTGGTGTACCCAGAGCCTTGGTGTACCCAGAGCCATGGTGTACCCAGAGCCTTGGTGTACCCAGAGCCTTGGTGTACCCAGAGCCATGGTGTACCCAGAGCCTTGGTGTACCCAGAGCCCTGGTGTACCCAGAGTCATGGTGTACCCAGAGTCATGGTGTACCCAGAGCCTTGGTGTACCCAGAGCCTTGGTGTACCCAGAGCCATGGTGTACCCAGAGCCTTGGTGTACCCAGAGCCCTGGTGTACCCAGAGTCATGGTGTACCCAGAGTCATGGTGTACCCAGAGCCTTGGTGTACCCAGAGCCTTGGTGTACCCAGAGCCATGGTGTACCCAGAGCCTTGGTGTACCCAGAGTCATGGTGTACCCAGAGCCTTGGTGTACCCAGAGTCATGGTGTACCCAGAGTCATGGTGTACCCAGAGCCATGGTGTACCCAGAGTCATGGTGTACTCAGAGTCATGGTGTACCCAGAGCCATGGTGTACCCAGAGCCTTGGTGTACCCAGAGCCTTGGTGTACCCAGAGTGTTGGGGTGAGAGTGTTGGGGTGAGAGTGTTGGGGTGAGAGTGTTGGAGTGAGAGTGTTGGGGTGAGAGTGTTGGGGTGAGAGTGTTGGGGTGAGAGTGTTGGAGTGAGAGTGTTGGAGTGAGAGTGTTGGGGTGAGAGTGTTGGAGTGAGAGTGTTGGGGTGAGAGTGTTGGGGTGAGAGTGTTGGGGTGAGAGTGTTGGGGTTGACACACACTAGACAGAGTGTCCTGACTGATATAATCCTCTTGACCGTTCTCTTGGCTCCTCATTGTTGACGGCCGCCGGCCTCCACCGTCAGCCTCGGGCACAATGACCACCTCACAAGACCCTTTATTTATAAAAGCTTCTGTTGACGAACCTTTTTGTCGATAAATGATGCTGTTTACACGCTGTGCTCCTTACCGTGGGGGGCAGAGGTCCCTGGTGGGGGGCAGAGGTCCCTGGTGGGGGGCAGAGGTCCCTGGTGGGGGGCAGAGGTCCCTGGTGGGGGGCAGAGGTCCCTGGTGGGGGGCAGAGGTCCCTGGTGGGGGGCAGAGGTCCTTGGTGGGGGCAGAGGTCCCTGGTGGGGGGCAGAGGTCCCTGGTGGGGGGCAGAGGTCCCTGGTGGGGTATTGGTGGGGGCAGAGGTCCCTGGTGGGGGGCAGAGGTCCCTGGTGGGGTAGTGGTGGGGGGGCAGAGGTCCCTGGTGGGGGGCAGAGGTCCCTGGTGGGGTAGTGGTGGGGGGCAGAGGTCCCTGGTGGGGTAGAGGCAGCCAGCTTCAGGCAAGACAGGGAAGAACACTGGAAGGGGTTTAAGGGGAATAAATTATTGCTATGGAAGTCCACACAAAATTCAGGATATAAGAGAATCCAGTGTTTTGTTTTAAATAATAATTATCATTCACCTAAAGAAAGGCATCAGGTACTCTTGCCTCGTAGCTCCAGCAACGACCCCAACACGCCAGACCTTCCACCAAGTGTCAACACATTTAACACCAGCTGCTGAACAAGAAATATGGACTCAATGCAGTGGGCTCGAACTTGACCTTCTACTTCAAAAAACACGCTACACCACCTTATTGTGCAACATCCTTAGTGCAACATCAGAGTATTTAATCGTACAAATATAATAAACAATATTGAAAAGTCCAGTTGATTGTCAGAGTGAATTATTGGTAATGCCGGAGTGCGTATTACTCAGAAATTGAGTACAAGCACTGTTCAGAGGCTGATTCTTTAACAGAAACTGGAGTGTTGCAGTTTATAGGGGAGCTGTGGGCCACACTCCCAGGGGAGCTGAGGGCCACACTCCCAGGGGAGCTGAGGGCCACACTCCCAGGGGAGCTGAGGGCCACACTCCCAGGGGAGCTGAGGGCCACACTCCCAGGGGAGCTGAGGGCCACACTTCCAGGGGAGCTGTGGGCCACACTCCCAGGGGAGCTGAGGGCCACACTCCCAGGGGAGCTGAGGGCCACACTTCCAGGGGAGCTGTGGGCCACACTCCCAGGGGAGCTGAGGGCCACACTTCCAGGGGAGCTGTGGGCCACACTACCAGGGGAGCTGAGGGCCACACTACCAGGGGAGCTGAGGGCCACACTCCCAGGGGAGCTGAGGGCCACACTTCCAGGGGAGCTGTGGGCCACACTACCAGGGGAGCTGAGGGCCACACTCCCAGGGGAGCTGTGGGCCACACTCCCAGGGGAGCTGAGGGCCACACTCCCAGGGGAGCTGAGGGCCACACTCCCAGGGGAGCTGAGGGCCACACTCCCAGGGGAGCTGTGGGCCACACTCCCAGGGGAGCTGAGGGCCACACGGCCAGGGGAGCTGAGGGCCACACGGCCAGGGGAGCTGAGGGCCACACTCCCAGGGGAGCTGAGGGCCACACTCCCAGGGGAGCTGAGGGCCACACTCCCAGGGGAGCTGAGGGCCACACTCCCAGGGGAGCTGAGGGCCACACTCCCAGGGGAGCTGTGGGCCACACTCCCAGGGGAGCTGAGGGCCACACTCCCAGGGGAGCTGAGGGCCACACTCCCAGGGGAGCTGAGGGCCACACTCCCAGGGGAGCTGTGGGCCACACTCCCAGGGGAGCTGAGGGCCACACGGCCAGGGGAGCTGAGGGCCACACTCCCAGGGGAGCTGAGGGCCACACTCCCAGGGGGAGCTGAGGGCCACACTCCCAGGGGAGCTGTGGGCCACACTCCCAGGGGAGCTGAGGGCCACACTCCCAGGGGGAGCTGAGGGCCACACTCCCAGGGGAGCTGTGGGCCACACTCCCAGGGGAGCTGAGGGCCACACGGCCAGGGGATCTGAGGGCCACACTCCCAGGGGAGCTGAGGGCCACACGGCCAGGGGATCTGAGGGCCACACTCCCAGGGTGGAAGAGGCAGCAGGGATGGGGAGGTTAGCAATCGATCACGTTGATTTATTGCACATCCGCAGCGGCGGGAGTGTGGGCTCTCCCCTCCGTCGGAGGGTGAGGGGAGAGCCATCGTCGGAGGGGCGGTGAGGGCCGGGCTCTACCATCATCTACCCTTTCCTGTTAACTACCATATGAGGGGCGGTGCAGGCAGACTGTACCATCATCTACTGTTGGTCGACACCGGCCTGCACCAGAACTCCTAGTATTGGGACGCTGTAGCACAGTACTGGGTCCGGGAACTGTGAACCCCCAGTACTGGCACGCTCAACAGCAGTAATGTTATGTGAGTAGTGGTGGTGAGGACTGTGAGAGCAGCGTGTGAGTGAGCGCCAACAAGAGCCTCCTCACACCTCACACTGAGTCAAACATTCAGGCCGTGTACAGTGTGTTACATTAAACAAAGTTATCTGCGCGGAAGAATTAATTACACGCTGTAAATAAAATAGTTTACGTTTAGAATATATAATGTATTGTAGTAAATGTATAAATATATTAAATATAAGTATATATTAAATTTATTGAACTGTACATTTAGTTTTAACATGAATGTAGATCTCTAACGAAACATACGACCTCGCTTAAGCCAGAGCGAGGCTGGATATGTGTAAATTGAAATTATTATTAAGTTGATTAGATTTACATTCATTCATGTTTGCTTAAGAAATTAATACATAAAATGATGAAATTGCTAGTAATTTGGATGGTAGGGAGAACTGACATGTTATTCTGCTTGTGTTTACAGGAGTCGCCCATGGAGCTGAGCTTCCAGGTGGTGGCCACCAGGAAGGTGAAGAAGCGGCGCCAGCAGCCAGCATCCCTCACAGCAGAAGAAGACTCCCACGACGCCTCACAAGACACAGCGGAGACTAAGCTTCCTCGGGAAGAGTGTGTGGAGCCTCCAGACAAGGTGGCCAGGATGGAGCCCACCTGCGAGGCCGCCACCACCCTCATACTCCCAGAAGACCAGCCGCCCCTCGACACCCACCCGCCCACGCCCCCAGAGACACCTGAGGGCGGCCGAGGCAGGGACGCAGAACAGTTTTCTACTGAGGATCACACTGTCACCCAGCTGGACACCCAACAGGACGCCGAGGCTGGTGGCAACCCAGAGGACACCCACCAAGTAGAGGAGAATCTTGAAGATGAGCAACAGCAGCAACAACGACAACAACAAGAGGAGGAGACGACCCATGTTTTAGAGGAGGAAGAGACACAGGAGGAAGAGACGCAGGAGGAATTGCATGAGGAGACACAAGAGGAGGGTCACGATGAAGAAATTGCTGAAGTGCTTGAAGAGGAGGAACAGACTGACAAAGAAGCGGAAGATGTGCGCGAGGAAGATAACGAACACATGGAAGCTGCTGAGGATTTCGATGCATCAAAAGAATCCAACGACCTCATTGTCGACCATGACTCGGAAACACCACTTGAAGTCGACACCAGCCACGAGACGGAACCAGAAGCGGACGGAGAAGCGGACGGAGAAGCGGACGGGGAAGCGGACGGGGAACATGAAGTGGATCCCGTTGAAACGGAGGGCGAGGACACGGGCAATATAGGCGTGGAAGAGGAGACAGACACGGGGAAGGATTGTGGAGACGACGAGCAGGAAGATAGTGCCATTGACGTGACAGAGACGAGTGCCAGCGAGCCGATGGACAGCGACGACAAGGACACTGACCTCAACGTCAGCACCGAGTCCGCAGAGATGGAAGCCGAGGAGTCAAGGGAGCGGTCATCCTCCAGCAAGCAAGTTCAAACGGACGAAGGTCCCATTAATCTCACCTACGGGTACAAATGTGACAAGAAGATGTTCCGCAAAGACTGTTATGTCTTCACTGATAATGAGGAGGATGAAGACGACAGCGCAGAACAGGAAGAAGAGAGAGATGAGGTGGGTGCCCTCGACCTCTCTCGCCATGCCCGCAGTGTCAGAGAGGCGAGAACACAACGGGAAAGCCTAGACTCTCCACCTAATAGCGCGTCCTATGGGGTATCTACAGACAAATCAGGAAACCGCACAGCGCGGGGACAAGGAACTCAAACTATTCTTTCGATCACTCAGAGCAAAAAGTCTAAAAAGCTCAAGCAACAGTCGTCCACAACAGCAGTATCGCCAACAGCAACAGCTCAAACTACGCCCTCCGTCACACCCATCAGCAGACCACCAATTCCACTGGACTGGGCTCGATCCTCTCTAGTTCCCGCACCTGTTAACCCACAAGCCGTAGCTTTTAGTGACCTCATGACACTGTCCCATGCAGCAGTACAGCTGCAGCTGGCCATGGCGCATGCTCAGGCACAAGCTCAGGCTCAGGCACAAGCTCAGGCTCAGGCACAAGCAGAGGCTCAAGCAAGAGCTCAGGCTCAGGTTCTCAAGAATCTGAAAGTCAGTGAATCTCTGAGTTTTGTGAATGGTTCAGGAGATACACTGACTATAAGTCCAATCACAACAGCGATGGAGGGCAAGTCTAACAAGAATACAACTTCCAAAACTGTCAGTAAGAGCCACCATAGTTCGAAAGCAGTCAATGGAAATTCATTCAGTAAAAACTTTAACACCAAGTCTCATAATAGTCACAAATCGTCAGGTAGCATCGTAAGCAGCAAGAGTAGTAGCAATAGTCACGGCAGCATTAGAACTACAATTCCTAAGTCTGCCTTAACAACCTCCCTCAAAATACCAACAGTGTCTGTCAGTTCCAAAACGAACGGCGCGACTTCTCCTTCAAACACAAAATCCGACAAAGATCACACTGAGAGAACTGGAGACCCAGTCTTCAAAATAACGAACCAAAAGTTGGCAGAGTTCGTCAGACGGCAACATCAACAACAAAAATTAAAACAAAATCATTTTAAGTCCGGCACGAACACCGTCACCCCCACCTCTAACAGCATCACAGTGTCTGGCAGCAACAACACCAATTCAACAGTCACAAAAGCGTCGCACCTCATCAACTCCAGCTACAAAGTAAGCGGAAGCTCGAACGTGTCGAGCCTCGGCAGCTCCGTGTCGTCTGTCAGAGGCTCCTCGAGTTCCAGTCAGAGCATCAGAGCGACCAACACGAGCGTGCGTCAGATCCCCAACCCTTCGCTGCTACGCCAACAGTCAGAGTCGAGGATAACCAGTGGCCTAACAGGCCTTGGCCTCGGCTCCAGAAAACCCTCCGAGTCCATTAGCAGAATCGAGAGCCTGACCAGATCGCTGCACGAGAAAGTTGCGGCCTCGTCGTTGGCAGCCACAATCAACTCTGCCGCGAGATAGATGTACAGCCAGTGACGCTCTATGGCATACTTAGTTCTCAAACTACGCGGTCCCACAAACATTGCGAGGACCTTGAAGAGTGTACCCCGTCACTGGCATCAACTAGCAACTATATACATAGCAACAGCTGCAACAAATATGCTGACTTGTTAATTATTTAAAATCTATATGGATAAGAGTAAGGCATTTTAGTGTAGGCCTACACATAAACTATCATCGAGGAACATTCACATGTACACGTAAGAGAAATTGGTGCTAGAAATGCGACCTCGTTATGAGAAGTTATTCTTCTGTACAAATTGGTGGTATTGTATATACGAAAGAAATTGCCACTGTTCAAAAAGTAGTATTAGCCGAGATAAAGAAACAATAACATATATAAGAGGCTGTTATACAACACAACCCCGGCCTCGTGTAGTGTGACCACGGCCATAGTGTGACCACGGCCATAGTGTGACCACGGCCATAGTGTGACCACGGCCATAGTGTGACCACGGCCATAGTGTGACCACGGCCATAGTGTGACCACGGCCATAGTGTGACCATGGCCGTAGTGTGACCACGGCCATAGTGTGACCATGGCCGTAGTGTGACCACGGCCATAGTGTGACCATGGCCGTAGTGTGACCACGGCCATAGTGTGACCATGGCCGTAGTGTGACCACGGCCATAGTGTGACCATGGCCGTAGTGTGACCACGGCCATAGTGTGACCACGGCCATAGTGTGACCACGGCCATAGTGTGACCACGGCCATAGTGTGACCACGGCCATAGTGTGACCATGGCCGTAGTGTGACCATGGCCGTAGTGTGACCACGGCCATAGTGTGACCATGGCCGTAGTGTGACCACGGCCATAGTGTGACCATGGCCGTAGTGTGACCACGGCCATAGTGTGACCACGGCCATAGTGTGACCATGGCCGTAGTGTGACCACGGCCATAGTGTGACCATGGCCGTAGTGTGACCACGGCCATAGTGTGACCACGGCCATAGTGTGACCATGGCCGTAGTGTGACCACGGCCATAGTGTGACCATGGCCGTAGTGTGACCATGGCCGTAGTGTGACCACGGCCATAGTGTGACCACGGCCGTAGTGTGACCACGGCCATAGTGTGACCATGGCCGTAGTGTGACCACGGCCATAGTGTGACCACGGCCATAGTGTGACCATGGCCGTAGTGTGACCACGGCCATAGTGTGACCATGGCCGTAGTGTGACCATGGCCGTAGTGTGACCACGGCCATAGTGTGACCATGGCCGTAATGTGACCATGGCCGTAGTGTGACCACGGCCATAGTGTGACCATGGCCATAGTGTGACCATGGCCGTAGTGTGACAATGGCCGTAGTGTGACCACGGCCGTAGTGTGACCATGGCCGTAGTGTGACCACGGCCATAGTGTGACCACGGCCATAGTGTGACCATGGCCGTAGTGTGACCACGGCCATAGTGTGACCATGGCCGTAGTGTGACCATGGCCGTAGTGTGACCATGGCCGTAGTGTGACCATGGCCGTAGTGTGACCACGGCCATAGTGTGACCACGGCCATAGTGTGACCACGGCCGTAGTGTGACCATGGCCGTAGTGTGACCACGGCCATAGTGTGACCATGGCCGTAATGTGACCATGGCCGTAGTGTGACCACGGCCATAGTGTGACCATGGCCGTAATGTGACCATGGCCGTAGTGTGACCACGGCCATAGTGTGACCATGGCCGTAATGTGACCATGGCCGTAGTGTGACCATGGCCGCAGTGTGACCACGGCCATAGTGTGACCATGGCCGTAATGTGACCATGGCCGTAGTGTGACCATGGCCGCATACAAAGTGTGGTCTCATGCCACAGTGGCAAGTGCTTCTCCACACTGCAGCTTCAGGGTTGACAACACCGCGTTGGTACTCTGGTGACAGTGTTCGACGCTGGTACTCTGGTGACAGTGTTCGACGCTGGTACTCTGGTGACAGTGTTCGACGCTGGTACTCTGGTGACAGTGTTCGACGCTGGTACTCTGGTGACAGTGTTCGACGCTGGTACTGTGGTGACAGTGTTCGACGCTGGTCTGATCTTGTTAGAGTCGTCAGGAATGACCTAAAGAGATCGACAAAGCTTGTGTTCCACAAACAGAAAAACTCGTTTATTCTTAATATATTAGATCTGATATCTGTGGGGTCTTATCCACATTACAAAAGGGTGATATAGTATTTAGATGTAGAGATGTAAGGATAAATTTCAGCTTACAATTTGGCTTTAATTCAAGTTTTGGGTAATAGCGTGCGAGTGTGCACCGCGAAGCCGCCTCTGTTTCCCTGTGTTTATGTCAAGAACATTTACTTATGTTATACGTTCCTTTTATATTCTGTTTAGTCACAATATGTTACAATATGTTAAAAATCGGTGATATATATATATATATTTAGATTCTTGCCACTGGATTATATATTAAGGAGGTAACAGGCAGTTTTTGGTCTTTGGCGACTGACTGGGTTTTATAAATCCAGAGTCAGTTATATATTTATGCCGACATGTTGGGACGGCGCTACAACCCAGATGACCAAAGAGCTTTGCCCGCGCCGCTTCTCCCTATATGTATTTGTTTTACAAAATGTGTGTGTATATAATTATGATATATTGAGTAGTGTAGAAGTCTTTATCCAACCTGTGTGTGTCTCATGTATCCACGGCCGTGTTTACATTTTCTGTTCTCCGTACATGTACTACAACACGTTGTTATCTTGGCCAAGCTATCCCACCCCCTTCCACCCTACATGTTCAGTACAGTACATGTGCGTGCCTCTTCCAGCCACCTCAGCCCCTGCTGTAAACACCTAGTTACTGTGGCGAGTGTATCCCCAAACTTCCAGCGTTATTTTATAATATATATTAGTTCTACCAGGAGCTCGAGGTGGCGCTGCTTTTACTCGCTGAGTTTACTGATAGCCAGAGAGAGGACCAGTGATCTTATTCCTATATCACACTGGCACTCACACTGAGACACACTTGCACTCACGGATACACTCACACTAAGAGACACTTGCACTCACACTGAGACACACTTGCAGTCACGGATACACTCACACTAAGAGACACTTGCACTCACAGATACACTCACACTGAGACACACTTGCAGTCACGGATACACTCACACTAAGAGACACTTGCCTCACGGATACACTCACACTAAGAGACACTGACCGACACGCACTGGCAGTTATGCCGACAGGCAGAACTCAGACCACGTGTACGGTGGTGCCACACGTGTACGGTGGTGCCACACGTGTACGGTGGTGCCGCACATGTGTACGGTGGTGCCACACGTGTACGGTGGTGCCACACGTGTACGGTGGTGCCACACGTGTACGGTGGTGCCACACGTGTACGGTGGTGCCACACGTGTACGGTGGTGCCACACGTGTACGGTGGTGCCACACGTGTACGGTGGTGCCACACGTGTACGGTGGTGCCACACGTGTACAGTGGTGCCACACGTGTACCCAACAACAACAACAACATTGTCCTCTCCTGGTCATGTCCTATTTCCTCTCTTTCCTCTCATTTAGTTGTACATTTTCTGGGTTATAATATGTTCCTGAAAAATTATTTTGATTTACATTTGTGAATTATCATCGCACATTATTGTTGTATCCAATAGGATAATTTTATTATTTATATAAATCTTGTGTGCCATGAAATTATTGTTTTGAGTATGTCAGAATGAGTGTATTGATGGTGTGGAGTGTTGGCCCCTTGTATACAGAGTATCAGAGGGCATTACCTGTTTTATTGTGCATAGCTATATGTACACACACACACACACACACACACACACACACACACACACACACACACACACACACACACACACACACACACACACACACACTATTCAACACTGGTGGGACGCGAACAAGGGGACACAGGTGGAAACTGAGTACCCACATGAGCCACAGGGACGTTAGAAGGAACCTTTTCAGTGTCAGAGTAGTTAACGGATGGAATGCATTAGGCAGTGATGTGGTGAAGGCTGACTCCATACACAGTTTTAAATGTAGATATGATAGAGCCCAGTAGGCTCAGGAATCTGTACACCAGTTGATTGACAGTTGAGAGGCGGGACCAAAGAGCCAAAGCTCAACCCCCGCAAGCACAAATAAGTGAGTACACACAACAACAACAACAACTGCTTTATTATAATTGTCATAATTTGTTGAACACAAGTGACTAAGGTGGAGTTGTGGAAGACAGGTGAACTACACACGTTTGTTGACGTGAGTCTGGTAATAAAGTCTCACATTACCTGCTTCATATGAACACTCAGGTTAGCTGATTTGCCGGTTATGGAAGTGTTCAGGTGGGTCCCCGTGTTCACGTGGGACTGTGGGTCCACGTGTTCACGTGGGACTGTGGGTCCCCGTGTTCACGTGGGACTGTGGGTCCCCGTGTTCACGTGGGACTGTGGGTCCACGTGTTCACGTGGGACTGTGGGTCCCCGTGTTCACGTGGGACTGTGGGTCCCCGTGTTCACGTGGGACTGTGGGTCCACGTGTTCACGTGGGACTGTGGGTCCCCGTGTTCAGGTGGGACTGTGGGTCCACGTGTTCACGTGGGACTGTGGGTCCCCGTGTTCACGTGGGACTGTGGGTCCACGTGTTCACGTGGGACTGTGGGTCCCCGTGTTCACGTGGGACTGTGGGTCCACGTGTTCACGTGGGATTGTGGGTCCCCGTGTTCACGTGGGACTGTGGGTCCCCGTGTTCACGTGGGACTGTGGGTCCACGTGTTCACGTGGGACTGTGGGTCCCCGTGTTCACGTGGGACTGTGGGTCCACGTGGGACTGTGGGTCCCCGTGTTCACGTGGGACTGTGGGTCCACGTGTTCACGTGGGACTGTGGGTCCCCGTGTTCACGTGGGACTGTGGGTCCCCGTGTTCAGGTGGGACTGTGGGTCCCCGTGTTCACGTGGGACTGTGGGTCCCCGTGTTCACGTGGGACTGTGGGTCCCCGTGTTCACGTGGGACTGTGGGTCCACGTGTTCACGTGGGACTGTGGGTCCACGTGTTCCCGCCTGAACTAAATAAGCTTCTTATATTACTCCGTGCTTCTGTGTTAGTGCTGTAGTGGAGGTGTACCACCGCCCAGGCTTGTGTACCACCGCCCAGCCTTGTGTACCACCGCCCAGGCTTGTGTACCACCGCCCAGGCTTGTGTACCGCCGCCCAGGCTTGTGTACCACCGCCCAGGCTTGTTTACCGCCGCCCAGGCTTGTGTACCACCGCCCAGGCTTGTGTACCACCGCCCAGCCTTGTGTACCACCGCCCAGGCTTGTGTACCGCCGCCCAGGCTTGTGTACCGCCGCCCAGGCTTGTGTACCACCGCCCAGGCTTGTTTACCGCCGCCCAGGCTTGTGTACCACCGCCCAGGCTTGTGTACCGCCGCCCAGGCTTGTGTACCACCGCCCAGGCTTGTTTACCGCCGCCCAGGCTTGTGTACCACCGCCCAGGCTTGTGTACCACCGCCCAGCCTTGTGTACCACCGCCCAGGCTTGTGTACCGCCGCCCAGGCTTGTGTACCGCCGCCCAGGCTTGTGTACCACCGCCCAGGCTTGTTTACCGCCGCCCAGGCTTGTGTACCACCGCCCAGGCTTGTGTACCGCCGCCCAGGCTTGTGTACCGCCGCCCAGGCTTGTGTACCGCCGCCCAGGCTTGTGTACCGCCGCCCAGGCTTGTGTACCGCCGCCCAGGCTTGTGTACCGCCGCCCAGGCTTGTGTACCGCCGCCCAGGCTTGTGTACCGCCGCCCAGGCTTGTGTACCGCCGCCCAGGCTTGTGTACCGCCGCCCAGGCTTGTGTACCGCCGCCCAGGCTTGTGTACCGCCGCCCAGGCTTGTGTACCGCCGCCCAGGCTTGTGTACCGCCGCCCAGGCTTGTGTACCGCCGCCCAGGCTTGTGTACCGCCGCCCAGGCTTGTGTACCACCGCCCAGGCTTGTGTACCGCCGCCCAGGCTTGTGTACCGCCGCCCAGGCTTGTGTACCGCCGCCCAGGCTTGTGTACCACCGCCCAGGCTTGTGTACCACCGCCCAGCCTTGTGTGGGGTGAACCAAGACTGTCCCCGCGGCCTGGTCGAGGACCGGGCCGTGGGGACGCTAAGCCCCGGACCCGCCTCAAGGTAACCTCAAGGTAACGGCGCCTCAAACACACCATCCTGGCATATTTCTGGTGTCTTGAAGACACAAATATAACCACGAGGAATAGCCAAGTCTGTCTTAGTGTCTTGTAATTATATTATTGTTTGTTGAATATTCATAGATCTGAAAGTAGATTGCTGTGACTGCTTATTTTCTTCTTTTTGTTTTGAGCAAGATCTTGAGTCCCGTCGACTGTAGGGGCAAGAACCGCTGGTCGGCACTAACATGGTTATACCCGCTACACGCATGAAAATACAAAATATACGATATATCCAGTTATTATTATTGAGAAATTACTGACTGGAATGTAATGTATTTCCTTTGTAACTTACATTGTCAGATATTGGAGAGTGTGGAGAGAAAACTGTGTTTCCTATCTTGAAAAAAGTACGAGAGTTTATTTAAAGTTTTGATTTATTGCACCGTTTCTATTCAAGGAATCATACATTTTGGAAGAAGCATAAATCACACGGAAAGTTATGGACTGTGTCTTGGTAAGTTGGTGTGATAGTGAGTGTAGTGAGTTACACAACACTCCTCACACACTCACACTCACACCAGGTAATTCTTGTATACATAACCTAGTTTACCTGAGACCCACTAACTCTAGTGGCCTCCACGAGGACACGAAGCTGGCGGCTCATCATATATATATATATATATATATATATATATATATATATATATATATATATATATATATATATATATATATATATAATATAACAACTGCATGGAAGATGAAAAGATCAAGCCAAGGGCTTTGTTGAACTTCATATATTCTCAAGGTATACAAACTAAGCAAACGGGATAAAGGTTTAATGTATATATTTTCAAAGTTATCTCAAATATGTTACATTCCTTGAGTGTGTTAAAGGCTAGGCAGCCCTCGTCTTGATCGTTTCTTCTTCCATGTGGTTGCTTACACACACACACACACACACATCTATATATATATATAATACACATATATTCCTAAGAGCCAGAATTGCTAAACAAGCCGAGTTTTGTTATATTTAATCTTACGGAATAATATATATGTTCAGTGTAATGAACATGTTGAACATATTATAACCAATACTAACATAGCACACAAGCCTAACCTAAATGTATGTAATAATTCTTAACACTGACTAACACGAATAATTTGCCGGAAATCAGTTCATATTCAAGATAACCAATATCGTATAGTTGATTAATACAAACTGTTCCTGAGACAATATACGGTTTATCTGTGTGTGGTAAAGAGGCCCCGTCTCCTCGGCCTGGTAGTGCGGTTCTGGCTACTAGGTTTGACACATTCACAATTTGGTATATATAATATTATTTTTCAACACATTCAGACTCGTTAGAATCTTTTGGCGAACAAGAAGACTGAACAGCAGCGGTGAGGCCTTGCGTCACAAACATCAGCATCACCTTGCGTCACATACATCAGCATCACCTTGCGTCACATACATCAGCATCACCTTGCGTTACAAGTACCAGCATCACCTTGCGTCACATACATCAGCATCACCTTGCGTCACATGTACCAACATCACCTTGGGTCACATATATCACCATCACCTTGCGTCACATATATCACCATCACCTTGCGTCACATATATCACCATCACCTTGCGTCACATATATCACCATCACCTTGCGTCTCATATATCAACATCACCTTGCGTCACATATATCACCATCACCTTGCGTCACATACATCAGCATCACCTTGCGTCACATACATCAGCATCACCTTGCGTCACATACATCAGCATCACCTTGCGTCACAAGTACCAGCATCACCTTGCGTCACATATATCACCATCACCTTGCGTCACATACATCAGCATCACCTTGCGTCACATACATCAGCATCACCTTGCGTCACATACATCAGCATCACCTTGCGTCACATACATCAGCATCACCTTGCGTCACATACATCAGCATCACCTTGCGTCACATACATCAGCATCACCTTGCGTCACAAGTACCAGCATCACCTTGCGTCACATATATCACCATCACCTTGCGTCACATACATCAGCATCACCTTGCGTCACATGTACCAGCATCACCTTGCGTCACATATATCACCATCACCTTGCGTCACATATATCACCATCACCTTGCGTCACATATATCACCATCACCTTGCGTCACATATATCACCATCACCTTGCGTCACATATATCAACATCACCTACACAACCTTCGCTAAGTCTTCACTCAAACTCAATCCGTTTCTTAGAGCTCTGAAATACTCATCATATTAATGGTAAGAACTTACCCAAACAAGCTAATCTTGAGAAACAAGACAAGACATGTGAGGTGTAGCCAGCAGGTGTGGTCTGTGTGTAACGAGCGGTCATATAACCATTGTAGTGAGCAGCAATTATGGGCATTATACCAATGTGTGGTTGTTGTGTAGTTAGCGTGAATGGAGGTCAAACTGTGTTAGCAGCTCTATGTTCAAATATTACTTTTACCGTTATGGATTATATGTGGAACACATCATGTCTTTAGTTTCATTAAAAAATCCAATGCAAAATGTGTGATCTTGTTTTATTGGTAAATGAGCTTTACTTGAAGGGCTCTCCTGGTGACCAGTGAGTGAGGATGGACGGCTGGCCAGAGGTCATGTGGCCAGTCTCTGGCCAGGGGTCATGTGGCCAGTCTCTGGCCAGGGGTCATGTGGCCAGTCTCTGGCCAGGGGTCATGTGGCCAG